TCTTTTCAGTGCTGAATAACATTCTGTTGTCTGGATGTACCACAGTTTATTTATTCATTCACCTACTGAAGGACATCTTGGCTGCTTCCAAGTTTGAGCAAATATAAATAAAGTGGCTATAAACATCCATGTGCCAGTTTTGGTGTGGACGTATGTTTTCAGCTGCTTTGGGTAAATACCAAGGAATATAAATGCTAGATCCTATGGTAAGAGTATGTTTCATTTTATAAGAAACTACCAAATTGTCTTCCAAAGTCGCTGTGGCATTTTGCATTCCCACTAGTAATAAATAAGAGTTCCTGTTGCTCCACAACCTTGTCAGCATTTGGTGTTGTCAGTGTCCAGATTTTGGCCACTGTAGCGGCAACCTATTTTTTTCACAAAGAATTTCTTTCACGAATGTAATTTTTTATAGGTGTATAGTGTTCCAACATAGGGAGGTCACAGAGCACAAAGTATTTAACCTACCCCTTATTGCTATCTGTTTCAATTTTTCTAATTTTCACTATTATCAATAACATTCTCATGAACATTTTTATACATAAATCTTTATTTACTTCTGATTATTTATTTCCCTTGGATATATTCTTAAAAGTGGAAATAGTGTGTCAAAAGAGTGCAAATATTTTTCAGGCTTCCTGGAAACTTTCTATCATTGCATTCCTATCAAGAGTATGAGGCACTCCCTCACCAGCAACAAGTATTATCAGTTGTTTTAAATCGTTGATGAATCAATAGGTTAAAAAAATGGTAACTCATTGTCTCAATTGGCAAATCTTTGATTACTTAAATTGAATGTACAGTACAGGTAGTCCATGCTTCTTAGCCGCTTGTATTTCCCAGTGGGTTATGTTAGTGTTCTTTGCTGGACAGACTTTGCTAATAGTGGCCCCAATAATCCCAAAGTTGTCTGCGGATGACGTCAAGCCTTGCATTTAGCCACATCTGATAGGAGAATAGACTCCAGCAGGATTAGAAACTGTCAGCATTGCAGTTTCAGTGAAACCAGAAAGAGGAAACTCTCTGTTTTATTGGAATCTGGGAGATGAAGTTATTTTTCTGAGCCATGTCTATTATATAATTATGCCTTCTTTTCTTACTCTCAAAGCTTCTCTTCGATTCTGCTCTAGCAGGAGGGCTAAATTTGGTGTGTATGTATTCTTCCTTGTAGAATGTGTTCATCAGCCTCCTACTACGTGCAGCACACAGTGGCCACACGAATGGACTGTGGAGTCTAGAGAAGAACCCGGGCTTTGGAGTTGGGCAGATCTTGGGCAAGTCCCTTAACCTCTTGGTGGCTCAGTTTCTTCTTCTTTTAAGTATGGGTGGTATAGCGTTACCTCTGAGGAATAAATGTATTATGAGTACTAAACTCCTGGAACAGTGTCTGCCAGATCATAAGGCTCCATTTAGCTCAATAAACAATTCTCGAGCCACTTCTGTGTGTTTGTCACTGTGCTAGGTGTTGAAATCAAAGAGGAGTCAGATGGGGCCCTTTATAATGTCTGCATTACCTACAGGAGAAAGGTCAGGCTGTTCATCAACTCCGACAAGGCCCTGTCTGACACTTGCTGTTCTGTGGCCCTCTCATTAAGTCCTGTGGCCCCAGGTGTCGTGGTGGGTTGACAGCTCTCTTTAGAGCCCTGGCCCTTAGCTGCATTTCTGGAACAACAGGAAAAGTGCCAGTCAACATTAGGTACACAGAGAGTCACAGCTATAATTTTTATTTTCTCTTTTCTTCTTAAAGTTGGATCATAAGCATTTTCCCTTTATAGTACAGTTGTTAAGGGAAGCACTAGAGCCAGTTTGATTTCAGGCTCCATCACTTACTATGTGACCTTGGAAAAGTGGCTTAACCTATCTGTGCCCTAGTTTCCTTATCTGTGAAATAAGGATAATAATAGTACCTACTTCCTGGGGTTCTTCTTAGGATTAAACAGAATATTTTATGTGTAACTCTAGTAATGTCTAGCACATAGTAAGGGCTCAATGATCTAGTATTACTATTTGTTATACTGTCTTTTTAGCCATCCTTACAATAAGTTTGCATGATTAAGTTGAACAGATATAATACCATTCTCTGCTGTTGGATATTTAATGTGTTTCTGTTTGTAAACACAAAGAAAAGTATTATTCCTAAGAAAATTTTAAAGTCATCTTGAAGTTTAGAGATAAAGTCAGGGCAAGAAATTTAAGAATTAAATGTTGAATAAATAACATTAATATGCTTAAATTGCCTTTAAAAAATCAACATTTCTGTATATATTACAGGGCAATTAACCCATCTCAGAAGTAGGGGGTTTCCCTACTTCTGAGGCAGAGAGCTGGCCTGGATCACTAGGCAAGGTCTTCTAGTCTTTCTGCAGGCGAAGAAGCTGCATCAGCTCTTCTCTCCTACTGCCAGAGAATCTCTGATATAGCACAGCTGAGGGCCAACCCAGCATTTTCAGCTATACTTAGGGATATGTGGTAGGGCAACCATCAAGCCATGTCACCTGATGGGGAAATTATGGGACAGAGATTTCTGCTGTGGTGCTTCAGCCAAGAAAGCTCAAAGTTAGCATTGGTATAAATGAAATATGAACCTACACAGGTCTAGCACCTTCTGTGTGCCAGGCTCTGTAAAATATTCTCTACCATCCTTAGCTCAACTAAATAAGACAGAATTTATTGGCCCCAATTTACAGATGAGGAAACTGAAGCTCAGAGAGGTTCGAGGTTTCCTCCAAGGTCACCCAGCTGGCAGAGTCATGACCCAGATCTGTCTGACTGTGAAGATACAAGCTCTTCCCATGGTACCACAGGATTTTTCAGTTTAATTCAACTTAACAAGCATGGATTAGCACTCACACGTATTACCCCTGCTAGGCACTGAGAACAGAGAACACAGCCCAGTGGGAGAAATAGACAAATTGCAAGTTCTAGTAGTCCTAGTAGTAGGAGGATACACGCCTATGAAAGTAATAAAGCTGTACGGACAGTTCAATTTATCCTGTTGTATATATTTCTGAAAGCCATCCTTAATCCTTTTAGGAAGAGGCCGGGGAGAGATAGATTGATAGATCAGGGTTGTAATCAATGAATAAACAAAGGGCAGTGGGAAAATTGGGATGGAGATTAATTCCCACTCAGAGATCTAGGGAAGTCTTAGAGGATATGGTATTTTGGTTGGGATTTGAGTGTGAGGAAGAATCAGCAAAAGAGTATTGGGAAGGGGCATGACCTGTTCACCCCCTCTCACAACAAAGCTAAAAACAGAATCTTGATTTGTGTGTGCTGTATAGTGGCCTGAAACCAGAACACCCACACACACCTCTCTCATTTTGTGCTCCCCCCCCATTATACATAGATGGACCTACCAAGACACACCCAAAGATACTCACAGACGCAAAAACGCAAAGAAAATATACATAAAACACACACCAGTACACATGCAGATACTTAAAACACAATATATGCAAATAGATACTAGCTTCCATACTCATAAGCTCACGCAAATACATATAATACTCATACACAGACCCACAAAGATGTTTACGCTTTCATACACAAGCACGTACATATTTTCTCCCCACCCACTACTCATGTAGGTAAATACATGCATTTTTTCATTAACATGGACACAGGTTCACATGCAAATCTCATCCTGCCATTCTGGTTGGGGGCCAGTGAATAATGGGAAGCCATGCACGAAGGCAAACATCACGTAGCCGAGGGCCAGGAATGGGCTGGCGATGGGGCTGGGATTAAGCCCTGTCAGATGACAAACCCACCCCGCCTAGCTCCCTCTGAAAGCTGCTGAGCCGAGGCTGCAAGCGCCTGAGCAAGCTCAGGATCCTGGGCGGATGGTGCGAGGCCGCGCGCCAGAATTCCAACCTCACACAGGGTTCAGTGTCAACCAGGGTCAAGCTCTGCTAACAGACCAACCCCAATCCCTGCAATACGCAAGCCGGCTCTGGGGACACACAGGGCTATGGCTTGGGGCTTATCTTAACACAGGACACTGAGAGTAGTCAGCATTAATAAGGGTTTACTGCGGGCCAGGCACTGAGTTAAGCCGTTTCAGTACATAATTCTCACAACAGCTGGGGGGAAGGGGTGGTCAGGGTGGGAGTGGGTTAGGTGTGTAACGTCCTCATTTTAGAGGTGAAACCACTCAGCAGGAAAAAAAAGCAAGAAGTCCCACCCGTCAGTCCAATTTTCCCCAGGGTTTCGGATAAAGTGTGCATGTGAGCCTCTCTCCCCAACGCAGGAACCTTGCACTTTACGCTCCTGGCAGGTCTCTAGACCCCGGGTCCTGCCTGGCACAGCGCCTGGCCCACAGGCAGGTCCCTGGTGACGGCGTGGGTGTTGGTTCAAGAAGGCCCTCAGCAAGGACCTCAGTTTCCCAGTCTCTGAAATGGGAACGGCAGCTCAGACTTCGCAGGGCGGAGGCTAGGCTCGGCTTTCTCGGGCAGCAGAGGCAATGTTGAGCTCTACGGCTAGTCTTGCTGCTGCCACCCTCGCCCATCGCGGGGGTTCCAGCCCAGTCCCAACCCGGGTGCGGCTCCAGCGCCCCATTGTTCAAGAGGGCGGGGAAGCTCCTGAGAGCGGATTCTCCGCCCGGGTCGCTCTTGCAGCCCAATGGAGCAGATGACTTGGCCCGGCGTCTGTCGCGCGGGGCGCGTCCTTTGTCTGCTCCGCGGCGCCCGGTGCCGGAGGCCCGCGCCCCGCTCCTTGGGTAGACAAAGCCCGGGCTGCGGCGAGCCGGATCGGCTGGAGCCGGGCTCGCACCACCCTCCTCCCGCCTTAGTTCCGCCTCCTCTTCTCGGCGCCCTCTGATTGGCCCGTGAGGCTACAAAGAGGCCGAGGAACGGGTGGATCACGTGGGTTAGCGTGACCTCCCATTGGTCAGATGAAGCTGCCAATCGGGGAGGGCGGGCTGTCCGCGCACGGCCGGGTCTCTCCCTCCGCTCTGGGGCCCGCCCGCAGGGCCGGCCGCCTGTCAGAGGGAGGTGGCGATGGTGCGCCCGGTGGCGGTGGCGGCTGCGGCGGCTTTCCTGGTCCGAGTGCAGGGAGAAGATGACTGACTGACTGACTGACTGAATGAATGAATGGGTCGGGACAAGGGTCAGTAGATGTTTCCTGTAAAAGGGCTTTATGGCAAATGTTTTAGGCTTTCTGGGCCATATGATTTCTGTCATATTCAACTGCTATTTGCAGGACAAAAGTAGCCATACAGTGGGGCCGCGGGGCAGGTGGACGCGTCGCCGGGCTCGGGGCTAGGGGGCGAGCCCACTCATCCTTTCTCTAAGGCGACGGCTCCCACGTCTCAGACTCCGAGGACCGGACCCCCTCGCGCTACAGTCTACCGACCTCTGACTGCGTCCTCTTCAGCCCGGTCCCGGGAGACCACCCCTCCTCGGGCGACGTCCGGACCTGCTCTGACCACCCTTCAGGCGCCTCTCGGCCCCTCGTCGACATCCCCTCCGGCGGTGGAACACACTCCGACCACCCCCCGGGCGACGACAAGACCCACGCCCACCACTCTCCCGACGACCACTGGCCCGGTGCCGACCGCCCCTTTAGCGACCACCATTCCGGCGCTCACCACTCCGCAGACCCCGACCCGCGTTCTCCCAGGCAGCAGCAGAGTCCCGCCCACCCCACCTGCCACCGAGCCTCCCACCCCTTCTCCCCCAGGTGAGTCCCAGCTCTTCTTCGCCGGGCAAGACCCTCCCCAGAGGCTGCCCATCCTTACGAGGATAGGGCTCTTGGCTGGAATAGACTATTTCTTGCTCCAAAGATTCCCCAGATTTCGACTCTCAAGGGGAGTTGGGACCAAGCTCCAGCTAACCTGCCTCCCCACCCCCCAGTCTGGAAAGTCTTTTGTTGCCCCTGGGCTGCGCTTCCTCGGGAGGGGGGCGGCTGCCGTGTGGAAGGCATTGCACCCCTTTCCAAACAGGGCTTTCTGGCCTTTGTCAGACACCCAGAATGGGCACAAACTTTTGGGTTCTGTTCGCTCACCCTGTCTCTCAGCCTGCTGTTATTTGGGAAAGTGTGAAAGCCAGCACAGTACCACCTTCAACCGATGGGTCAAAAGCTGGAGTATAAGGGATTCCTCCCAAAGCTCCAGTTTCCTGTTCATTTCTCCTTGTTTCTATAAATATCAGATGTGCATGTGACAGGTGGAAGGGATATTGAGAGGATTTTGTTTACAAACAGTAGTACAGACCAGTTGAGCCCCCACTCCCCCAAAAGAGAGACATTGTAATCCATGTTTTCCCTGCAAATATGTGGATTCAGTAGGTCATTTGGGACAGGTGTGTATCTAGGTTGAGCACATTTATAAATTAGGTTAAATCCCTTCCTTTGCACCATTTTTTCCACCCTTAATTATAACGTCAATATGTTTGGACAAATACACAGTTTAAGCAGGGATACCCATTTTTTTCTCCCTTAAATTAGAATGTTCAATTTTGCTGATGCTGATAAATGCCAATTTCTGTTTAAGTGCATGTAGAAAATAAGATTTTTCCTGCTGTTTGAAGTTTTCAGGCAAAGTCAGAGACAACTCCTATTTTCTCCTTTCATTCTAAAATGGGACTGGAACTAAAATAAAACCCACCTTGTCAAGACATTAGACAAGAGTTTCTGAATTCCTTTGCTTTGAGTTGGGGTGGAGATTTGTCCAAACATTTGTACTTACGTCGAGGGATCTCTGACCTAAATCCTAGGCTCAATGATTTACTGTGGAGTCAGGTATGGACTTCAGACTATAATTGAGTTTGTAGAGAGTTTTCCCACATGATTATTAGTCTTAATACAGGCTTGAATCATGGGTTGGAGCTTAGCATTGACATAAGTAGGAATGTAGATTATCCACCCATAAAAAACCTAAGTTTGCATCTCTTCTAGCTTCAAGGAGTGTATTAACTAGTGGGGTTTTGACTGTAACCTTTTTTGGCCTTTGTATGGAGAGATTGACATATTACTGAGAGACAGGAAGCATGGTGCTTGAGCATATGAACTCTGGAGCCCATTTTTAGGTTTGAATCCTAGCGCTATCCCTTAACTGTGTAATCTTGGGCAGGTCACTTAACCTTTCTTCATCTGTGAATTGAAGATCATAGTACTTACCTCATGGGATTGCTGTGAAGATTAAGTTAATACATTTACAGTACTTAGAACAGTTCCTGGTACAGAGTAAGCACCATGTGTGTTAGCTATCTTTATACTAGGCTTTGTTGTTGTGGGATAGAAAGCATTTGAGGAACCTAGTAGGGACTTGTGGTGATTTTTATTTGTTTTAGTAAAATAGAAAAAGGATGAGTTAGGTTTTCTGGAATTTGAAGCACACAGCATGTAAGTAGCAAGATCACTTATTTTGAATGGTTACTATAAGTCTGTGTAATTGATATTTTACTTTTATTATTTTTATATTGTTATTTTTAAATCACAAAGTAACCATTACTTGCAAAAAATAAAAAAACACAAAAACAAAACAAACAACCAGAAGTCTACAAAGGGAAAAGTGAAAGTCACTACTGCCTCCTGGTTCCAGTCATTCCCTAGAGGTTACTATTGTTAACAGTTTGATCTCTTTTCAGACATTTTCCTGGTCATATATGAACATACACACAGAGTTTTTAAAAATAGTTTTTAAAAACTCAGAATGAAAGAATTCTATAAATATTGTTTGCAGTTTGCTCTATCCACTTAACTATATATCGTGGACTTTTTTTTTCCCACGTTAGTACTTAAGTCTACCTTATTTTTTAACAGTTGCATTTTTCATTATAGGAATGTATCATAATTTATTTAACGAACTCCTTATTCATGGACACTTGGATTGCTCCTGGGCTTCACTTTAAAAAGTACCAGAGAAGAATGTGTTCTTGTTAAATCCATCTTGTATATATTATATTCTCTAATACTTTGGCTGGAGTTTCATAGGCTCCAAGTCAATTCTAAATGAAGTAAAGTTGGATGATTAAGATTTGCCATCTGAACTGTTCATGGACTAACATGTACCTATGTCTGTGGTGGTCTTTGGGTGACAGAAGTTTTAGAAAGATGTCCATCTTCAGCGAATCGGTGTTTTAAAGTTTCTGTAGTTCATACTTTTCTGTAAATTCACTATGGATTGCCTGTGTTTAGTTCTCAGCAGCTGAACTGACTGGACATATTAATAGGTAGTTTTAGCTTCACAGTGATATAATCAGGTGTGGCCTTTCTGTCTGAGCATGGGTTCTAGTCTACTTCAAACAGTAAACACATCTCTCTGACACAAAGAAAACTTCTACCAGAATTTGAGAGACCTAGTTTGGCTTGCAAAGTTGGATTCCCTGGCGTTTGGGTAGATGGTTGTACAGAGTGTTTTATTTTAATGTTCCTCTAAGGACTGAATGCCATTGACGATATATGATTGGATGGTCTTCTAGCTGTTCTTTGAATTAATGAGAATTTCTTTCATAGAGGTCTAGCTAAGAGCTCTTGCTTGCCCCTCAATTAGGGACCTCTTTTATTTACAGGGACACTGATCGCAAACTGAAACTAATTGCTAGCAAGTAGGCACTTTCCTCCTACAGACCTGGCAAAACATTTGGCCGATTGGTTGGTAGGACATTTTAAGAAGGGTGAAGGGAGAGGAGAGACTCTGATACTAGAGAATAATAGCCATCAGCAGTAAGAGACTGATGTGAGGACAGATGTTTGAGTTTTAAAATTATGGGCCTTTAATGCATCTATTTAACAGAACTTGGAGCAATTACTATCTGCTGCTAAGATTCTAGTGTAGATGCAAAAAAAAAAAAAAAAAGTCCTTATGCTTTTCGTTTGTCTGATTATGACAGCCAAGATTGAATGTGGGAATACAGGGGAAAAAGAAATGGACCTTTAGGTCTAGATAGGACTTCAGAAGCCACTATCTCTTAAGGTGGCTCTATATTTTATGAAATACTTCTATAGACATGGATGAAGTGTTTCTCCCCGTAGTTAACACAGACTGGTTCTGTTTCTGCCCTTTGGGGCCATGTACAATAAATCTGCTCTCTCTGTGCCATGATAGTTCTTCAGGGATTCTGGGACAGTGATCATGTTCCTTCTGAGTCTGGACTAAATAACTTCAGCTCTCTCAACTGTTCTTTATGTGACATGGTTTCAGGTTCCCTCACTATCCTGGTCACCCCTCTTCTGGACTTTTTACTCTTTCTGTGTCTCTTTCAAAGTGTGGAGCACAGAGCTGAACATACTATTCCAGATGTGCTCTAACTAGCTGTAGTAGAGAGGGCAGTTACCTTGTTCTTTCTGGATGTTATACTACTGTTGACGTAGTTATGCCTAATCAGAGTAGCATTTTTGGCAGCCACAACTTGTTATTAACTCATTAAGTCCATTAAGATAGCTCAGTCTTTAAAAAAAAAACAACACCACATGTGCTAGATGGGTCTTCCTTCATTCTGGACTTGGAAATTCTTGTTATTTTCTAAAGTATAAGCTGAGGCATTTGCCAAACATGTAAGATTTATTGTGCTACATTTGAGTCATCCTTTTAGATCCCACGTCTGTCAGTGTACCCCACCCAGTTTATTCACATTCACCTACAGGGTGTTCCTATAGTCAGAGTCTAAGGACAAGTTAGAGCAGGTTATTCTTACCTCATAGGGGAGAGTAAATTTATAGATGTTAAACAATTTGGAAGGAAAGGAATAATAGTTTAGATTAGTTCTCAAGGGTCTCTTCCAGCTCTAAAGTTCTGTGATAATTTGATATGCATGATTCGGGGCATATTAATGCCCCCCAAAGAGCCTTAATCATGTATTTGTGATCTAAGTTAAGAGAATAGGCTTAAAGCAAGCCTTAGAATTTAGAGTTTGAAAAATCTGACTATTATGACATGTACATAAAATATTATGAATGGATTTTATTTGAAAAGAACATTCTGGGAATGCGTACTGGGAAATATTTTCTTTATCCTAAAATTAACTGCTAGATTTGGGGTCTTATTTGCTTGTAGTTATTTAAGAAGATACCATTCTTTTAAGGAAATAGAAATTATTCAGCTCCGAAGGTAATGTAGGTTCATAATCTTGTCCAAAACTTGTGGGGCTGGATGTGTTTCAGAATTTAGAATTTTTTGGATTTTAGGAAGTTAATAAATACATCTGATTGAGATCTGGGGCAGCATCCTAAAATCAAACACATGAAAATATCTGCAGCAAAATGCATATATATTCACACTGAGTAGGATAAATAAAGACTGAAAACAGCCTTGCATTTGTTCTAGTCAGACTGTGCTGTCATATGAGTTAAAGAAAAAATTCTGATTTTCGAATCTTCTGGTATTCAGCATCAGGTCTGAGGGATTGTGGACCACTGTTACAGTAATTGCAAACACATATAGTACTTACTATGTCCCAGGCAATGTTCTAAGTGCTTTACATATATGAATTTTTTAATCCTCACAAAAATTAGGTATAATCAAGTTATTCTTTTCCTCATTTTATAGATAAGGAAACTAAAGCTCAGAGAAACCCAGCTGTGGCAGAGCCTGGATGCAAACCCAGTCGTCCTGGTTCCAGAATTCATATTATTTGCATTTAATGAAGTAATTACATAGTAGAGAAGAGAAGGAGACCATTTTGCTAAATATATTGTTTTTTGGGTACTAATCTGAAAAATTTCTATTGTTCTTTGGCATT